GATATACTTGACGCGGTAAACACAGGGTGATTGATAAGTCTTAATGCGGGTGTGCTTTCGGTCAAGCTCGGTCCGACCGACGGTTTCCGGCGGACACACTTGACTTAATACCTACCTACGCAGGTACGTGCGCAAGAAATCTCATGGAAATCTACTGCGACGATTTCCTCTATTTCAAAGTCAAAGCCTCGGGTCCTTATATTATGTGAATAATGAAGATCACGTGCTGTTGGTTTAAATGTAATACTACCCCGAGTTTTTTTACCCCGTGCTCGGTTAAACCAAAAACGGTGACCGTTAAAGCAACAACGAAACAATAATCTGTCGGCGAAACATTTGCCGCTCTGTGGATTACAACAAACTGCCGTTTGATTCGGTTAAGCACACTGGCGGGTACACTTTAAGCACGATAAAACAAACGAAATATTTGAGCAAACACTCGCTAAGCAAATTACATAATACGGATATCGAAAATTAGGCCGTCAAAGTCAGTCTTACAGTCACAACTTAATTGATTACACATGAGTAATAACAGTAATTGTTTAAAAAAAATAAAGAGGATCTATCCTAGACAACAGTGTCTTTCGACAGATGTTGTTTTATTTTCCAAAATTATTTTTAAAACGTTGTTTATATTTGTTGTAGTATTTACATTTACAATGCAAACTTTTTTGTTTAGTTCTATTAAAAATAAAAAAATTAATATGGTTTCCTGAAAAATTTGAGTTTTATTACAGAACAAGTGAACACTATATAATATATATATATATATATAAATATATATATACATAAAATTACAGTATATATACTTGTGTAAGTTGATCGTACAAATGATCATGGTACACTTGACGCATAACTCATTTATATATATTTTTTTCACTCTATAGGAAAATTAAGTTAGGGAAATAAAAAGAGTGTACTTTTTAAACTTTTTTTACTGTGTCTACCAAATGTAAGCTGTGGTTTATTTTCAATTGTTTTTCTGTCTGGTGCATTGTAATAGTAATGTTAATTTCATAACGTCAAGTGCACAAAGGAAACTGACAGTTTGCCATGTTAATAACAAAATTCCAGCAGGTATTCGTGTTGCACTGAAATAACATTATTATTATTATTATTATTATATTAAACTAATGTTAAAGTAGGTCATGTGTTTTGTTTTCTGTTAATTACAGGCAAATGGACTGTATTGTGGTAGTTGTAGGCTTACAAGTTTATTACCCTATTCAAAATAATATAGCTCACCGTTAAAGTTGTTATTAATTATAATTATTATTATTATCCGGTGTAATTTAGATATAACGCTGAGCGGGCCGTCGTGTGCGGTTTAACAAGCATTGTATGTAACGCTTATTAATTAATTCCAGAGTAAAAATTAAATTATATTGATTTTTTTTTTTTTTGCGAGTCATTCGTGTAAAGCATTCGGTGATGTAATTTATTTTACTTAAAAACAAAACGAGTGGTCATAAAAAAAAATATCTTCTTTTAATTGGCTCATTTATGATGCATATAGTTGTTATGAAAAAATATAAACCTACTAAAATATAAATATTTATTTGCCGAATACTATACTGAACAAGTAAATAAAAAACAATAAAATGTTAAAATGATAGATGGCTGTCTTCCTGTATTGTAAACTTTAAATTATACAATACAATAATGATAATTCAGCTACTTGGTACGTCAAACGGCAAATTATACTTGATATCTAAAGCGCAGTGTATTCGAATTATCCGAATTTACATCACAGCCCCTAGCGATCCGTTGTAGAATTCATTTTGAATATTTGATTATGTCCACGCTGTCTGTGGTATTCCAGAGTGAACACTGCCGTATGAAAACAGATAGCATGTAAACAACACCCATGACGTCACAATCGAATGTGGGGTTTCGAAAATAATTATATTACCCATAGGTTAGACGGCGCTTTGTACAGGCAATTTCGATGCTTCGCTGCAACGAGTGAAATATGTTGCGCTCGACGGCAACGTAAAGCCAAGTACAATATAACATAATATAATATTATGAACATTACCATTAAGCTTAACCAGCTAACCCAAACTGCGCTCTAGTAATCGGTTCAACCGAATAATATTACGACTGTAGTGGATCAATATCGATGATTATAACTATATTAGGTACCGAGAATATGTCCCAGTTAAATTAAGTACCTTGATTGCCTAAACAGGGACGTCAGTGCGAATTCGAAGTTATCTTTTTTTTCACCTGAAATGTTTTCAATACCATAAACTTGGCATCTAATCTGGAACTGTGCCGTCGCTAAAAGCGTACTCGGCTTGTTTTGCCACCGCAACGCCCGCAACGTCGGCTTTCGGACGTGACTGATCAATAGGTATTTTACACGCCCTTTGAACAGTATGTTATGTATTTGCCGCCTTGAGATGGATTATAGGAATTTGTGCAAAGGCCGTCGTTTTTAAAAGCTTTATGAGATGTGTGTCAGAGAGATTTTCGCCCAACCGATCGTGTATGACCGGAAAATATATTTTATATGTCGGGAGTTTTATTCAAAATCTGTCACATAATATCGAAAAAACCGTTTCGTCGGTATTGAAATTGTAAAATATGTGATTTTCGAATAAAGTTTTACCATCCGAAATTCTCCGTGTATAAACATATTAAAAAAAAACGTGATGAAAAACAATTGTTTTTTTTAAACGAAAATGCGTTTTTATTGTTTTAAGCGGCACGAATAGAACATTTTTTTTTACAGTCCATATGGGTCTTTTTTATTGGCGCTATTAAAAAAATAATTGTTAATTTACAAATTGGAATGAAATACTATACTCCATTAAATATTATACAACCGTTGGTGCACTACCATAAAACCAACAATCCTTTATTATTATTAGTATTCAACTAGACGGTATTACCTCTGTGTTCACTGTATATTTAATTAATATGCTTTTAGCTTCGATGCGGAGCATATTATAATATGTACCAGAAAATGTTATTAGAGTTAAAATTTTAAAAAAATATGTAATATCGTGATTTTATGAAAGCGTCATACGTTATGTTATACATTTTTCTCGAAAGACAGGTGTCACTTTTACAATTACTTTTTATTGATGTTAGTTATAAGCTTTGCATTAAAAATGCAGATTATCCATCGATAAAGTTCTCACAGGCACAAAATGAAAAAGTCCAAAATTAAATAACACATAGTGAAATTAAAATATAGATAAAACATAAAAAATAATAATAATAATAGTAATATCAGTTTTTTTTAGCTTTATAGAAAACTACGGTGTTAATTAAAACAAAAATGCTTATTAAATTTTGAACTAAGCAAAATAATAATTTCATTTATGAAAAACGTACAATTTACGTTTTTCATAAGTTTAGAGAATTGCGCTAAAAAACTCTGATCGACAGTATGTACAATTGTTTGGTTATACTTAGCAGTATTTTTTTTTAAATTAATTTACACAAAAATTAATTTACTGTTGACCAAATCATTATTTGTAAATCACAATATTATTCTTACGGTTTTGTAAAAAATTATAACAGATAATATAAAGTTAATTATCTGACAAGTAATCGCCGACTAAAATAGAGTTAACATTTTTTTTTTTAATACCTTTATGATCTATATATATTTTGATCGTTGAAGTGTTTTTACCGTTCAAACAAGTACTTACCGGTGAGAAAAAAAAACCGTAACGAAATGGGTTTTTTCTACGTTCTGTTTTCGTAATGTGTGCAAATATTGTTGAACGTAAATCGTTTTTAGACGGGCAAAAACAATTTACAAACATCAAGGGATTACCCTAAAAAAATAAAACCCCCGTCGGTCCCGAACCGGTCAAAAGTTTAAGTAGTTCTGACGAAAAAAAACAAATATATAGCTCGACAAAGAAAAATGCATAATATTTATCTTTGAAGTACAATAATATATTCTGTATAATATTCGCCATACCGGCGTGACGCAACTGTTGTTGAATAATTCATGCGAGTAAAACGACTTAAAATGTTAACGCTCATAACTTAAACAGTCATATTTTATGCATTAAGCGCGCCTATATGCACTACCGGTACAGTACTTTGGCTTTAAAGGTCTTGAACCGACCTAATGGTTTTGGGTAGTCGTATTTTATCTGTGTGTATAGTAATACACACAGGATTAGAATAATATGCAACTTCGTTTGTAAGGAAAAAAACCTATGAGTTTTTTTTTACATTTAAGTTTTACCCAAATGGTTTTAATACACAGTTATCCGAAAGTAACCAAGAAACTTTTTTTTATCTTTTGTTTTTATTTTATTTTATATACACAATTTTGTATCTCTGGGCAAATTAAGAGTATAAGCTGAGAGAAGCATAACAAAAACATGAACAGCTTGACGGCAACAACCACCCATTAATGACACTTCCTATTTGTTTTAATTGATTTATTTATTGTTTTTTTTTTTATTATTATTAATGTAGCAAGCCTCTATACACCATTTACGTTTGAGGTGTTTCCAAGGGTTACTAAATAATAATTACATTGGCTGATCAATTCCTAAATCTATAACCCAAAGACAGTTTTTATCTCTAATCTCTTCTATCTAATCCATATTTCTATTATCTCTATTCCATTATCTCTAATATATTATTTCTTATCTCTAATTTTTTATCCCCAAACATTAAAAATTATTTATCAGCTGTTTCATTCTCAAAACAACCGCTAGATCACGCCACATACACACATTTTTCTCGGTAACATTCAGCATGACACACAGATTTTCCAACGCACAGTTCCTTCAATCAAAAAGTGTTTTTCAATTTCTTATTACAATAAAGAAATATTTTTAATTTTATGCTATTGGAAGAATTAATTATACCTACAATTTCTGATAAATTACTATAAAACTCATTTATCATGCATCGTAAAAAAAAACCCATTAATGATTGGTTTTTTTATTAGAGAAATACAATTTATTTAAAATAAATTTTAATAAAGTAATTATAAATTAAGTATGTATACAATGTAACTTATATAAATTATTTGACTAATTAGGATTTTATTCGAGGTGCGACAACTGGGTTTGGAAAGAGAAGTAAATTTGTATTTATGGTGATGTACAAAGATATACAAGAATAATAATATATCAAGTTAAAAAAGACAAAAATACGGAATAGACGTTTGCATGTTTATAAAAATATCTAGAAGAAATTATTATTATCTACAATAACCGTCAATCTTTGTTTAATCACTAGTATGACACTTTTAAATGACTGTAGGTATTATATGTCTCTAATAATACACACATTATAACAACAAATAAATCGTTAAAATTTTTAAAATGGTTTGTTTCCATTATATTTATTTTATATGTAAATTAGATATTATTCAAAAGTATTTTAGAACTTTCTGAATATATTGAATAGTATAACAGATAAAATGGAGAAAAAATGTTATAATTAGTATAAAATAAGTGTCTCAATCGATATGATACAAAAACTTTATTGGATTACATAAATTCCACTTGAGTTGAAAATCATTAAAAATCCTATGTCGGCAATCATTTTATCAGGCATCGTTATATTATCATCAGTGAACACTATTACTGCTTGACATGGAATGTTTGTAACAGGAATATACCTGCATTTATAACTTTTTACATAATTTATATTATCCAGACGGAATCCTGCGTTTGATATACCAGGAGGCCAGGTACCTTCGTTATGTGCTCTAAAAAGTTCTTCCACAATATCTGCTGGCCAACGTCTATCAATCAAAAATTTCTTGACGGCATTCTGTAAATAAAAACGACGATATTAATTTTGATATTTTTGAATAATGCGTTTTATTACAAAAATTACCAGACAGAATGGCCTAGGCATGGATTGCAATCGTAATAAATCCCTAACTCCTGCTGGTTTTAAGGAATTTCGAAGTTTATCTATTGTCGTTGAACGTATTTTGAGTTTATCCATTTGTTTGGCCAATAATTCTACTTCCGTTGCGTCTATTTCCATGCTAACGGCCTTAAGACAATGATAGATTAACTTAATTGAATAAAACAATACTGATTGAGTGCTATAAGCAATAAAAACTACTATACAGTCTGCATGTTCATTTAACGTTAATGAAACGATATGTATTTATGACAAGTCATGGTCAAAACAGTATGATTTTAAATAATATAAAATTCAAATTTTAACGGATGGATATCAAATAATATTACGTAGGGTTCTACCCTTCCTAGGAAAAAGGGTCTTTGATATTCTGTTTGGTCTGTCAATGAATATTGTTAGTGGTACTTTATCGAAAGAATATTTCCGTGCAAATTTAAAACTCATTTGAGTATTCTTAAAAAGGTGAATGGGTGAAATGTATTTATTTTTAGTCCAATAAAGAACCTTTCATGTTCAGTATAGTACCATTTCTTATGCATAGAGTCTGTAGACACAAAAAATAGAAAAAAATAGTATAACTATTGTATAATTCTAAATGAAAAATATGTTGGCATAACAAATTAATTGTAATGCATTTTAGCGCTTTGGTAGTTGGTCTTTCTTAAACATACAGATTTGTTTTACACTCATTCTGGGTTTATAATTTGTTTATCTGGTATATTATTAACTTATATTTATATAATAATAATAAAAAAACAATTACTTAAGTAAATGATAATAAAAATAATAGTTTAGGAATAGGTATACAAAAAGTTATTGTTGAACATACCTCATCGCTATTAGAATATACTGTTGCAATATAATACAATATGAAACATAATAAAATAATAATATTCTTCGTATTCATGTTTTGTGTTATACAGTTTCGTATTAACGCTCGAAGACTCTTAACTATATGAAATATATTTCACAAATGGTTCTTTTGCTCAGTAAGTTTAGTAAGTTTGATGACAATTAATAAATTCAATTTTATGAGTAACTGACAGTGTACACAGACACGTTTAAAACAACTGTGTTATTTGTTGAACATGAAATATCGCGGTATTGATTTTATCAAAAAAACCTTTTTAATAACAATTTGGTTTAATGTTTCATCGTGATAATACATTTTTCTGGTTTAATATAAATTTTTTATTTAAAAAAAAAGAATACTATGGCGGGTTTCTGTACTGGTTTTAACTTTAAACTATACTTGGTTAGTACTAAACAGATTTAGACTGTAAGTGGTTTTTTTAGTGGTTAAGGGTTTACTTAATTATTTTATTATTTTATTTCTTTACTATATACAACCACAAGTGTTACTTAAGTTTTTTTTATCGCGTTACACCTCATTTTTTGATGATATACTACAATTTTGAAAAAATTAACTCCATTAAAAAATTTTTATTTTCATCAAACATTAATAATTTAAAAGTGAGAAGGGTGGAGTTTAGTATTATTTTTATCAACCGTACTCCATCTCCCGTCCTAAATTCTAATAACATCTTCGGTCATTACATAACCACTAATGTAGTCCTTAAAGTAGAGTTTCAAAACATATTATTTCAATATTTTTTTCGATTCCGCACAAACGCAAAACGATTACTATCAATAACTTCTTAAAAAATCAACATATTTTCAGTTGTTCGTATTTCATTGTTGTGGTTAACGTTGATGTATTTTTTTTTTATGTATACAAGTGTTCCACAACTTGGAAATGTAATGACTTAAATTTAAAATTTAAAACAACCTTCAAAAGCGTTTCAAAACTCATAATGAGCTTAAAATTATATTGTGCGTAAAAAACAGCTACGATTAAATACATCATGAAACTATTATTTCAAACAAAATAACTTTGTTTGGTATTTTTTGAAGAGGAAGGAATCTATGTCTCTAAATATTTAAGCTTTTTATGTATAATTGTTGACATAATATGGACTTGCTTTATCAAGAAATAGGTTCAGTAGTTTAAAAGATATCGTGGGTTCAGATATAATAAAAATAAATAATAAATTATAATCCCATTATTGTAAAAACAAGAACTTCACACCTACTTATAAAAACAACACCTCTAATAACTATAGCAATAGTTTAATATCATTACACATATTTTTTTTAATCACTGGCACGAGTCCGTTTTTTTATAGTTTAAACTTAATAATTTAACTAAAAAAACACCTGAAAATACGTTTAGAGAATAGTGTGCACACTTTGTGTGAATGTCGAAGGAATAACAAAACATAAGTTAACAATCTTCTCGAAACAGCTAAACTGTTTTAGGTATCGTGCACATTGCTGTTTTTTTTCAAAACTTTGTTTTATAAAACAAATATTATTTTTAAAAAAAAATGTACGGAAAACAACTGTGTGATTACAACGATTAGATTTTCAATATCGCCACAAAAAAGTTACAAACTGTATTGAACAAATAATATTATTCTTTACAAAAATATTGGCATTGCATATCGTTATCACTATTTACTTCTCGTTAACTTTAAAACTTAAAAGTAATAGTTGCTATGTAACCTATTACCAACCAACTATTAATAATTTTAAAAAAAAATCAGGTATAAAGCTCTACAAGAAAAAAAAATAGAAACAGTTTTTTTTTAAATTGTATTTAGTGTTTTCGAACTGAGGAAGCTGAATCACCAGAAATCCCCCCTCTCCTTTAGATGTCTGGCTCTTACTTCCAAATATTTTTTATTGGAAACACATAAAAAAATTTGAGTCATAATTAAATTAATTGGTTTTAATATAATAATAACATAACATGTATTTCAATATTATAATTTATTTTTATGGATATAATTCATTCAAATTTATTAAGATAAAAAGGAAAGGAAATCAAACGCAAATTTTTTAGTGTACACGAAACCTAAATCTACATAAAGATTATTGATTACTTTTATGACGAGCTGATTAATTTGAGTTCCAAATTGATATATGATATCAGATCTGTTCTGACATTTAAACTCAGTTTGAAATTTCTTTATCAATACTTTGATGTCCTGGTTTTCTTTTACGGGAATTATGCAATATTTTTCTAAGAACGGTCGCAACCAAAAGTGATTCATACTATTAATAAACCTTTTTAACTTTGAGACAAATTGTTGACCTTTTGACTTGTACTCAACATCAAGTTCACCGATATAAGTTGGAAAACAGATTTCTAAATTTACCGATATATCTTTGAACCACATCACTACCGTTAATACATATTGTTGTATGTGTTCCATGCTAAGACGTAAAACATATACCTCGGGTGGAATTAATTTAAATAAATAATTTAATGCGTCATACATGTATTCGAACATCAGCTGACTATTCAATAATTTTTGATACGTATAATTAAAAATTGTCCACGTAAGGTCATAGACGTGGTCTTCGACGTCTTCATTTTCATCATCTGATATATGCGCCGCGTCTCCCGAATTGTCACTATTTTCGTCAAGTGATGGATGGTCATATTGTACTTCAGTTCTCAGCCTTTTACTTGGCATTTGTTTACGATGCATTTTTTCTGAACGGATTTTCTTAAAATTACGTTGTCTTTTTTTCAAGAATACTCTATGTTGAGATAGACGTCTTTCATTTGAACTTACAGATAAAATATTCATAATCAACTTTGTAAATGTATCGGTCGCTTTGGCGTACACACACGCTAACCAAATAATGACCATGTAGTGTTTTTTATACACGTTTTCCAGGCTAAAATAAGAACTAGCAGTGTTTTTAATGCGAGAGAACAAACCTCTGTAAGTGAATAAATCTTTTCCTGAAAACCAAACAATCTCGTTTGGGAAATCTGGATGTTTGGCCTTCACATCGGTGATCTTTGCCCATTGTTGGTGGCCTAATAGTGCGCTAAGTACGGCGGATAGATTTTTTTTGACCGCACGAGATGCAAACGTTTGTTCACTGTTAGTGATTATTACATAAAAAAAGAGAAATCCGATTGACACTTTGCCGAGCATTCTATTTAGGCCAAAACTGTATACTGAAATTAAAAAATTTTATATTTTAAAGTACATTTTTTTATGGTGATCCGTAAATTAAGTTTACCACATGCAAGCTGTACAAAGTGCTGCTGCGTGTGAAATAGGACGTATTTTTACCGGCTAATGTTTAGTGGTATTTGTATTTGCAGAGTCTCTATTATACGTATAGGTATCTAAATAACGCTTGTTTATAATAAAATAACAATAATACAATAGGAGGTTTGTAACGTGACATAATTCTCTGTGTGTGTTCAAAATAAGAGGTGCGAAATCCGAATTGTAGGCTTTTACATCAATGATCTGTGCCCCTTACAACCCAAAAGTGCGTTTAGTACGTAAGACAACTAATTATGAGTTTACATTTTCAGTATTTGAATTGCTACATTAGCGACTGCGCCATCCGGTTTTATCTATGTTTCACTATATAAATGGCATAATATGATAATATAAAGGGCGTGCGCGTCAGTTTACAACGTTGGCTTATTGGCGTGTAGAGGAAAACGAATTATGTTGGCGATCAGCACGGCGAGATTGTCAAAATCGATATCATCAACTATGACGAATAATATTATAGCCTCGAACGACTCTTATCCGTCTCCTGTACAAGAGATACCTACAAACGAACGCATTTACAGCGCATCAGTCATTTTTTTCAATCTATATCCTGTATACCGTTTCGACTCCTGACCCGTCGCCAGCCGGCCGCGAGATGATATATCATCTTTATCGCATCGCTTGACGGTCTATATAATAAATACATATATATATATATATATATATATATATGTGTTTGTCTGTATCGGTCGATTCGGCAGAAGGGAAGGCTGTGTTGTAGCCGGTATGGGTTTGATTCAATTTAATAACACTCGTAAAAGCGGCATTATTGTCAGCCGCGTGCCAGATAAAGAGAGAGAGAGAGAAAAAGGATACACCGGAAGTGATTAATGACGTCACGGTCGAAAGCAGGTTGGCAAAAAATTCTGACTCTTGGCGAAACGGTTTTAGACTTTCAAAAGTATTCACGATCAATTATATTTTTTTTAAAAATCAAGTAAAGAGGGAGCTAGGAATAAACGCTTCAATCGGTAAATATACAACCGTAACATTCATTAAAGAAATGTAATTTTTGAAAATGTAAACAAACCAAAACCCCCATCAACTCCACTGGTAACCACTGGTCGAAAAACAAATTCTTTATATGAAATTATTGTTTCAGACAAACCATCACTAACCTAATCGGTCTCGGTCTGTTGTTAGCGCTGAAGATGACATCATCGTTGTCGTAACACGTGTACGCAAGAAGTGTATAATTTTTATGGTTTAGGGTTCAAGTAGATTTTATATCTTTACTATATATTTAACCATAAGTTTGCTTAACAGTTTTTTCTAAACCATCACTAAATTTATACGTTGTAGTTATCGATAAATTATAAAAAAGCTAGTACAGTGGGGTCGGGGCATAGTGAAGATCACAGGTTTATAGGAACTACTTTAACTACTGATGATAAAAACACATTTAAATAAACTCTTCGATGTGAATCTGTAGTAGGTTCAAACCAGTACAGTCAAAATCAAGCACATCATAATCTAGCACAGTAAAAAATATCAAACGTAAGTGAGTAGTATTGTTATTATATGAGTAAGTATAAGGTCCAGTTTTCAAACATAAAAAGATAAATATCAATAATTTGACCCCGTGTTATACTGAACACAAATACTGATTAATAATAATTATTAATTATATATTGCAATGACACGTCAAACAGGGTAAGTCGTGAGTGAATTAATGGGCTTAAATAAAGTAATATATCTTTTGTATAATAATATAACGTGTATTTCAATATTTTATTTTATTTTTTAATTATATTTCAGTGAAATTTATTAAGATAACAAGGTAAGATTGTCAATCACAATTTTTTCGATGTACACAAAACCTAATTCTAAATAATGATTTTTGGTTACTTTTTTAAAGAGCTCA